AATTAAAGAGAATTCAAAAAAGAACAAAACTATATTTCATGTCTAAACCTTAAATCCAACCCAAAATGCTTGAAAATGAAATTTGGAACTTACCTTGGTGTTTTAAATGGTTCACGGCAGCAACAAGAATGATGAAGAAAAATCTTTATTTTTTCTTATTTATGTCCTTTTTGGATTTTTATAACCTAAATGAATTTAAAATTCATTTTAATCTAAAATGACCATTATGTCCTTGAGATCCAATGTTCTTAATCACTCCACATGTCAATTTCTTCATCCAAATGCTTAAATTAAACCGTGGAGTTAGAAGTTTACAACTTTACGCTTGTAAAGTTCCATAATTATAATATTTTCTTTTTTAATCCAATGACTTATATTTAACATGGAATTCAACTTAAATCCAATGGTTCATATTAAATACTAGAATTATTGATCACATGAAAATACATTTTTCCCTTGCTCTATCATCTAACAAAATTTCTTAAATTTTTTATTTGATTACCTAAATTTTTCTCAAACTTTAACACTTTATAACTTTTAACAAAATTTTCATACAAAAAATCCATGCAACACAAAAACCCAATTCTTTAGGGCAAACTATTGATTTACGAAGTAAAAAATCTTTTTTGGGTATTAAAAGTTAAGTTTCCTATGATTTTTGGCTAAAAAGGATTGTTCCGTTTGTTTCTAGTAACAAAAAGATGGATCTATTTTCAAAAGGGATCAATCCTTTTACAAATAGGATGGATCCCTTTGCTGACAATGGTCAACTTTTTGAAAAAAAAAATATCATTCTCTTTCAAAAAATGATCGACCTCTTATGTTGTAAAAGTTGTTTTCTTTGTAGATAACAACTATTTTGCATCTTCAACGGCTATAAATCATCCCCGACAGCTATAAATGACTACAAACTCATTTCTCATTATATAGACATATCAAGAACACTTCAAGAAGGTTACTAAATATATCTGAGCTTAAAGATCAAGAGAAAAGAGTCTTTAATCCTTTTCTTTCATTTTCTCTTGTACATAGTGTATAAAGCTTTATTGAATATCTTTTGTATTTATTATTTGTGAGCTTCATAAACACTCACCTAGAGAGGTATTACTTGTTTACACAAATCAAATCTTGTAAAAGAGAGTGTATCCAGTTTAGCCTTAGAAAAACTAGAGTGGTTCTATCTTAACTATTGTAAAAGATATAGTTGTAATGTTAAACTTATCCTTGAAAGGTTCAATTTAAGTTGGTGAATTGGAAAAATCTTTAGTTATGAAAAGCTAAGGCAGTGGATGTAGACTTTGGTTGAGAAAGTCGAATCACTCTAAAACAATTATGCCAAAAGCTTTAATTTTTTTCAAGCTTCCACCAAATTTTTTAAAACCCAATTCACCCATATTTATGATTTCCGGTTGATCGGTCGAGGTAAAAATGGTATTAGAGCCTCATCTCCATCTAAGGTTTTACAATTGAGAGTAAAGATCATCAAGCTCAAAGTTTATCGATTCAAGAAAAATAGCTAACGAGTCAACATTGATAAGTTTCAAAGAAGGCTCCTTTATCATGTATCCTCCATTCTTCAAATGATATTCTTACTCCCAATGAAGAAATATAATGAAATATTACATCCAAACATTCGATGTTGATGTTTGGAAAATCATTGAAGATGATCTATTGAAAGTACCTAAAAAGAAAAAGAAAAAGAAAAAGATTGCAAATGATTCAAAGAAAGTTCAACTAAAGGCTATGTACACATTTTTTTTTTGTGTGCTTTGAATGAAGAAGTCTCCAACAAAGTTATCTAATATATAAGTGCCAAAGAAATATGGGAGAAGCTTGAGAAGTTTTATGGTGACAAGAAAGAATAAAAGGACATTCAATTTTCTTGTGAAAGACGATGCACAACTCATGGAAAAAAATTTGATGAATCATCTAGTGTAAATGTGACATGTTTAATAGGTCTTGAAGAGTAAGAGGTATCTTCTAACTCAAATAAATTAAATTCATATTCATTTGATTAGTTACAAGATACTTACGATAAATTAGTATTGAGATTTGAGACCAAGAATTCTGCATACAAGAAAATAATTTACAGTTTTAAAATTGAAAATGATATTCTTTTGAAGACAAAATGAGACTTTGGAAAATAATTTAGAGCTTTCAAAAATAAGAAATGAAGAATTTTAAAAAGAAAATTTTGATTTAAAAGTTAAGCTTGGAATCTTAAGAAGGAAAAAAAGAAATTATTTTCTATAATCATCTAGCTCAATAATGACAATCACATTGTTATTATTATGGTCATATGCTCTATATACTTGCCCAATAAAGAATATGAAGTTTTATAAAATTAGACAAGTATGTGTTCACTAAGGAACTAGACATTAAAACTAACGCTCAATGACCCAAAGTAATTCGGGTACCCAAAATCAAGTAAATATCTTTTATAGGCGTGTTAGAGAAATGATGAGAAAGAAAAAATAATTTAGATGCTCTATTCACACAAAAGAATGACAAGTAACCTCAACTTAAATCTTATTGATTATGCATTATGGTTGCCTATTGAAATTTTATTGTACTTTAAAGATATTTTTTTCATGAGAACCGAACATGAATGATTATATGCTGTTTAATATTTATGTTTGAGTTTCTTAAAATCAAATGCATATATAACTTTTGGTTTATCATATCATGCACAATAAAATATTGTGATTTGGTAGGAACGATCATGACATTTGGGAGGTGACTTGGTTCTCTAGTTAGGGTTTCAACTCATAGACGAGCAGTCCCTTATTCTTAGTGCCATTAGGTTGCTTACCAAGCGAGTTGATCACGAGTTGAGCAGTAGCCGACTTGTGCTCGTTAAAAATTTTTGTTGTTCGACTCACTACTCGTTAAGCTTGTTAAAATTTTATTCGACTCGTGCTCATTAAAAAAGTTGTTGTTCAACTCAACTTGTTGCTCATCAACATTTTTACTTTGTTTTTTTAACTATAGGTAAAATTTATTATACATAGCTTAATATAAGTATAAATTAAAAAATTTAACCCAAAAAATTATCTAAAGAGTGTATGGAATAATTTCAAAGTCTAAACTCTAAAATAACAATCTACAATTACACCAAACTAGTAAATTAGTAAATTAATAAATTAGTAGTAATTATTAATTATTAATTTATCATCTTTCTTATTATCTATTAGCAAATTAATAATTATTATTTAGATTTTTTAACGGAATTATATTTTAAGATAACTATTAAAAAATTAAAAAAAAAAAGCTTAACGAATTGCTCATAAACTTACCAAATCAAATTGAACTTTATTCGACTCAACTAATTAAAATCTCAAATTAAACTCAAATTCGAGTTAAATCAACTTAAATTGAATTTAAACGGTTTACAATATGTTCAACTCATTAACCATTTCTAGTGTCACATGTTACCTTTAACTGAAACGTAAAAGGTGACCCAACCTCATATGTGTAGGTAAAGTGGTGCTATTTTGCGTCCAGAATCTTCTTGAATTGGAAAGAATGGACAATAATTGTAGTCCACACAATATATGAAAGATAAATATATTCATGATAGATTTTGATAAAATAATTTAATAAGATTTAATTAGAAATTTTTAAAAATTGGAATTTAACTAAAAATATTGAATTTTTAAATTTTGGAGGAGATCATATTATTTTTTTAAACAATTGAGGGTAAATATTACTTCTCCAAAATACAGTTGTCAAGTGAGTGTGCTCGAGAGTCGAAGAGTTGAGCTTAGGAATACTTAATGAGTTGAGCAACTTGTGAGTAATTTAAATTCAACTCGGTCAAAATTTGATAGAAGTTCGATTCGATCTCGAGCTTAAATCGAGACCTTAACGAGTTGAGTCGAATAAAATCCAACCTAACTTGATAAATTTGCTAGTAGCTTGTTATTTTATATATATAATTTTTTAAAAGTTATGTTAAAAATTTATCTTATTCAAAAAATTACTAATTTACTAAAAGATAATAAAAAGATGATAAATTGTTAATTTATTAATTTTCTAATAAACAATAAAAAATACTAAATTGTTAATTAATATTTTACTACACTCAAAAATCAAACCTTATTTATTATTTTAATATATTTATAGATTGTTACTTTAAAATTTAAACTTTGAAATTACTTCATCCACTCTTTTAATAATTTTTTTGGTTAAATTTATTAAATTAAGTTTATATTAATCTCTATATAGTATTAGTAGATTTTACTTATAATTCAGAAAATAATATAAAATTTTTTATAAGCTTTACAAGCAATGAGTTTAATGAACAACAAGATTTACAAGCAACGTGTCGAGCAATTTTTTTAACGAGCACAAATGGAACAAAATTTTAAAGAGCTTAATAAACAACGTGTTTAATGAGCAACAAACTTAACAAGCAATGAGTCGAGCAATTTTTTAACGAGTACAAGTCGAACAAAAATTTTAATGAGCTTAATGAGCAATAAGTCGAGTCGAACAACAAAATTTTTAACCAGCACGAGTAACACTGCCCAACTCGCGATTGACTAATCGATAATCACCCCTAGTTGAGTCCCCGAAGTATTCTCGAGCAAGGGGTCTAAGCGTGGATACAAGGAAAAGCGAGAAGCCCGCAAATGTGTTCCTAGTAGCAAAGTGGAATGATTGTACAAAAAACCAAGATAGACCAGCATGATTATTTGACCTTTATAAAAATATATATAATGTATCCGACAAAGTTCCATTTATCAACCCAAGTACATGAAATGCTAAAAGAAATGGTGTTTGTTTTACTATCAAGCTGGATTTTTTCCACCTGAATTTGCAGTTTGAATCTTTGATCTTTACAGGCCAGTATTTGGTTACTTACATTTATGTAAATCATATTTATTTTCTTTAATCTCACTTGCAGATTTTCGCTACATTCGAGCAATAGAAAGGCTTAGCCTCATCCTGTTATAGATGATGACAAAATTACATATATGTTAAGCGACTCTTTTCTTCTATGAAAGAAGTCAAGATTCATGTGATCAGTGATCACATTCACACACCAAAAGCAGAGGGAAAGAGAATGTGGTGTAAGGATCAAAACACATGCATTGTCTATATCTCTTTATACCACGAGGTCTTTATGAGGTAGAAAAATTTGTTGGCAGAAGGGCACATTCATAAACTTTATCCGAATGCAGAATATGCCTATATGCAAACTCAACTCTGATTGTTTAGTTGACATTGTTTTTTAATCTATTTGTGAAACCCCTAAAATTGATGCGTTTATACAATGATTTCTACATACACACATGGTAAAATAAAAAATGAAATGAATGAATCTAACGTGTAGTCAATAATATCAAGAGTTACAGGAGCTCTCACCGGCTCAGGCATAGACTAGTATCCCTTCATGATCTCTGCGTTAACCTATCCAGCATCAGAAAGAAAGCATTATGTTTAGAATAGTGTCTCATGTTACTTACATACCAATCCTTGCCCCCATTTGTGCACGGTTTATTTTCTTTCAATCAGAGAGTGACACGTGTTACCAGTGACACATGACACCATCTGATTCGATGATTAAATTTATTTTAATTTATTATAATTAGGAGCAAATTGATAAAATATGTAATTAACAAGGATGAAATGTATAATTATACCAATATTTTTAACCTTCACCGTTGAATATTAACGGAAGGTGGCTTGATTGACACACTTAATAGTCAAGTGGTCTGATTAACAAAGTTTCAAAATCGGTGGTCAAAATGAAAATAGACAATAGTTAAGCGGTCATACGAATAGTTTACCCTTAAAATAATATCTGCAGCAAGCATTACTTTGTTTCCCTGGTATGCATGCATTAAAACCTTGGGATAGAAAGGAAACACATAGTGTTCTCGGACATAACAAACTACTTACCTGATCCAACTAAGGGATTCGTTCCAACATTAGTAATCAATCACCTCTGCTTCAACCTCCTCATTTTCAATTTCAGCATTGGTATAAGTGAGAGCACGCTGTAGTTTCTTCGGACAAAATACCTCAACCTCAGTCACATATATGGCAGTAACAGGGCGATGATCAGAAAGTGTAAGCTCAGTCCTCCTATAACTTAGTTGCTTCATTCCTTTACCATATGAAAGGATGCGATCACACCTGAAAGATAAGATGCATTAAAAATAAAAAAACAGACAGAAAAACAACAGATGATGGATCATACAGAAATCTCTTAAAATCTTCTTTTAAGCATACCATGCAGGAATTCTTCTCCCAACCTTGGGATCTTCTCCATAGTATTTCTCTGAGTTCAACTCATATTTGTATGTCGGTGCAAAATTTAAAGCTCCCTCGGACCATCCATCAAATGTACGACCTTTTCGCAGCTCTCGTACAAGCTGTCATCATAAGAGCACCCTATCAATCGCCTTCAAGCTCATAATTGATCAGACAACTGCAATGACCTGAATGTGTAGGAATAAACTACCTGGTCTCCCTCAATCAACTTGGACCACTCCCTCTTCGAGATGAGTTCTCGTGCTTTATCATATGAGAGGTTGAGACGGTAATTTAAATCACCCAACCAAATTATTCTTCTGCTTGGGAAAAAACATAAGCATCTATGTTATATAATCACGTAAATGATGGACGAGTAATATAAGTGAAAATATCCAAACAATGCCTTTCTGATTTCTGAGCATGCATGATATCGCATTAAATAAACAAAAAATAGGCTTAAAGTATAGGGTAAACTACGCATTTAGTACCTAAACTATCAGTTTTGATCCGTTTTAATATCTAAACTTTCAAGTTTTTCAAAATCATACCTAAAGTTTAGTTTTTGTTTCATTTTTAATACCAAAACTTAAGTGTTGAAAAATTTGAAAGTTTAGGTACCAAAACACGTTTAGTACCTAAACCATACTTAAGTTCTGAAAAAATGAAAGTTTAGGTACTAAAACGGACCAAATGCATTAAGTTTTAACGACGGTGTACTAAAATGAAACAAAAACTAAATGTTAGGTATGATTTTGAAAAAGTTAAAAGTTTAGGTAAAAACGGATCAAAACTGATAGTTTAGGTACTAAACACATAATTTACCCAAAGATATATCTCTCTCCTAAGATTCTGTTTAGAAGCACTAATATCCAAATTACTCGTGTTTATATAAGGGGCCCAAATCCCAATAATAAAAAAGACTACATGTTCCAAATGCATTATTCAACAGCATACAACAGCTACAATGATGTTTAAATAAATAAACACAGATTCAGACCTCAAATATACTCACTCATGATCATGAATTCTTTTGGGAAGTCCAATTGCAGAACGAGAATGAAAATGAGTTCGCCTAAGTATTTCATGCACATCAGAGTTTCTTTTATGTTCATCTCCATGTTTTTCACCTGATGTCAGGTGAGTGCATATAAAACAAAAAAGTGTTTGATATATGGACATGCTGACTGATACTGATCCCTGGAAAAAAATAAATTGAACGACCATCATAATAGATAAAGATAGAAGAATTGAATAACAATATTATCAACAGCTTAATTTTTTTACAACAAATGTAGTAGCATGGTTCTAATAAATTGCTTCAATGATTATCCCCTTAAGCAGAATTTACAAGACTCGGATAGTGAAAAATCAGCATGATCTTATAGATACATGGTTATGATAATTCTTGAACTTGTCTTTCAGTTGTATTACAAATTAACCAAACATATCCTATAGTAGAGACTACCTACTTGATTGGAGTAACCCTGGGTTCAGTGGCAGAAATCTCGTATTGCTATCATATCTTTACAATGTCATAGAGCAGTTTGTTTTTGTAGGATTCAAACTGAGATTGCTTAAACGTGGGTTCTTGCATTAACCCCTTAGGAATATCTAAGTACCTACCATTACGAGACATTTGATGATGCATAGGATCACCTAAACCGTTAGTGAACTATATTGCTCAGACTTCATTTTTCACGAACTACCTGTGTCTGACACATCGATATGAGAGGATATGACCTCCAAAAATCCTCCAAATATATAGAAAAACTTGGAAAAATCTAACCAAGCCTGTGTTGGATACACGGTAGGGACGGATGCATGATTTAGGGGTGTAAACGAGCCGAGTCGAGTTTGAGTATTGTTGAGCTCGACTCGACTCGAAAACTCGCGAGCTTAAAATTTTCAAGCTCGACTCGAACTCGAAATCCTGAACTGAAGCTCGTGAGCAGCTCGAAAAGGCTCGAAATGAAGAAAACAAAATCTTAAACTTAAATCGATTGAAGCCTCAAACTCGAACATGAACCTTAAATACATAAAATCTTACTGTATTTTTTAAAAAAAATCAATACATAAATATTAATATTAATATTAATATTATTAATAATTTATTTTTTAAAAAATAAAATCTTAATATATTATATTTTCGAGCTGCTCACGAGCTTTTCGAGTCGAATATCGAGTAGCTCGTTTCGGCTCGTTAAGAACTCGAGTCGAGTCCATTCGATTCGAATATTTATCGAGCTTTGATCGAGTCGATCTCGAGTAGCTCGCGATCTGTCTCGTCTTATTTACAGCCCTAGTATGATTTTATGATCCCTGCTTACACGTGTTCGACTCTTAAAAATAAATGGTTGTCCCTTGTTCCCATATGTAATGGGGTAAGGGAAGGTAAGATAGTAGGCTGCCCCCAACACTAGGTTGAGAGCAGCTTCCGTAGGAGACCTCCGAATTATGAAATGCCCTCCATGGGACTCGATCCCACGACCTCAAGGTTAAGAACCTTGTGTTCGACTCTTAAACCAGAGTCCAAATAACATAGCTAGTGAAAAGGGCAGATGTAGCCACTGTTATCTCATACCTCATTCCTTATCACTAAAAAAATGACTCATCACCACCACATTGGTTACATACTACCTTCTACACTCCCTCAAGGTTCATGTCTCAATCGCCTTTTTCAAGTACATACTACTAAAGTGACTTAATCTTCTCCCATTCTACTTTCCTTACTCCTCCCACCAAACTGCTCAAGTGTAAAATTGCTATCCTATATAACCAGTTGTAGCGTTACCTCATCCCTCACTAAGGCCCTAATAGGTGAGTGGCCCTGGGACAGTGGAGATTCATTCTCAATGCACTGATGCCACTTTACCTAGTTTGGCCCTATAAGAACTCTTTGAAATTATCAATAAAGGGGATATGATCTTCCTTAAAAATATATTAACTTACCAAATCCCTCCTATTTACCTCTTCTAGTTAGATCATGTTAACAACATCTGAAAAGAATGCCGCCATTCTTTCCCAAGTTGAAATCGGCGATAACAAACCCAACACTATGTTTCAAAGAGACAAGAGTTATGCAATTAAATACCATAACCGGAATCGGGAAACAAACTTAGTCTTCCAAGTCAGGATCAAAGTTATAGTTGACTTTAGGGACATCTGACTTGATGATAAGGGAGAACAATATTTGAGGCAAAAAAGTAGTCAATTAGTTATAAAAGAAATGCATATAGCCAAGCTATAATCCTTGGATTCTGAGACTTAAGGTTCAATTAAGGCACACCCAAGCTTAGCTACAAAGATCCAGAAATATAAAGTGTACAATCTAAAAACTACATGAACTACGGCATTACAATATACAAACTATATTACTCCAAAAACTGCTAACATGACCCAAGAAAAAAGCAAACGGTCAATTTAAGATTAAAAAATTCAAGAATCTAACATTATAGAAGGGAGCAGACCTTGTTACCAATGTAGCCCATTACACCAACGCCAACAGTAGACACCTTCAAGTTCTGAATATGCCTCCGCAAACTCTTACGGACCCATATAGTGAGGAAGATTCCTACCATCTGCTTGCTAACTATTCTTACATATGATGATCTTCTTTTCCGCTTCATGAGGGATTCAAGGTCAAGTTCTGCAAGCAAAGCTATCCCTGACGGCATGTCCTTTATGGACTTGAAGGAATTATATGTTCGAGAAGACTTGGTCGCTTTGAAAGATTTGATTGATTTGAAAGAAGTTGGTCTTTCCAAAACATGCTGAGTTAGCAAATTTAGTGGAGGTTCTGGCCAGCTTAAACCAATCCTTTCAGTCCCACTAAGAATTCCGGTTAACTTTCTATTTTCTTCAATCCCATTAAGCATTCTAGCAAATTTTGCATCTTGTTTACTGACTGGGGCTTCCTCATTTTCAGCATAATCCTCTGTTCGCAGACAGTTAAGTTTGTCTAACCTCTTTGGAGAAGAAAATTGCCTTTGTAAATGCTGTTCTACTGACACATCAAGTTTAGAACCATCATAACACTCTGAAATCCCAGAATTGGTGACCAACATTTTGTTTTCAGGTGCATTATCGAATTCATCAAAGCCATGGGGTTCTTCATCCAATGGATAAATTTCTTCACCAATATCACTATCACTTTCAAGAATTATCTCCTCTACATCGGATGGCTCAAACTTTGATGGAGATGGGGGATCACTATAGCATTTTACTTTTGTAGTTGCAGGTCGAATTCTGTGGAGTGTGTTACGAATGATGCTTTCCCACTTTGGGACCGGGCGGCTATCTTCAGCACCAAATATATTCCCAGCATTTAATGGTACCATCTCCTGAAGACTGTAAACATAAAGGAATTATCATATTTTGAGATGAACATGAATAACAGAAAATCAAATTCAAGAATAATTGCTAAAGGCAAGATGACCATATTTTGAGTTGACATGTATATTATAGGGGTTTTAAGGTCAATCTGATACAAACAACATGAAAGTTACTAAAACTTTCCATGAATACATTGCCAGTAATTACAGTAAGACAAGTAAGGAAAACTACAATGGACAACCAGAAAATGAAGAAATTTTACATGTCAGGAAAATACTTACCCAAACACATAGATATCAGCAGGATCATTCATATCTATCCAGTCATCAATATCAAGGTCATCAGGTGGAGCCTTACCACCAACATTCCAGGTACCAACGCCTATTCTGTTAATTGAAAAAGACAAAATACAAGGTTTTCAGCAGCAAACCTTATACAACCAAACTCCTTTGAGTCACCAAAATACCACAATCCGTTTAATATTTATATAGCGCAACCAAAAAAGGAGAGGCATTGCACCTTATGTCCTTTGAGTCTATGTATTGTGCCCTAAAAGTCTCTGACTTTGGTCTCCTTCTCCTAAATCTTGGAATATTCTCTGAGCCCAAAAAGAGGAACAAAAAGAATTTGAGTATGCAAAGAAATCGTATGAGGAAAGTTAGTTTGGTTCCAATCAGTTAATTATTTTCTCAAATAGTTTGGTTCCAGTCATTTAATTATTTCCTCAAATAGTTTGGTTCGATTAACTGTTAAATACTTTAAAATGTAGGTTAATGGTAGTTCGGTTCGTACCAATCATTTGAAACCTCGTAAGCAGAGGGTAAAAATTTTCCGCCTGAAAATTGCAGTTGTAAATTGAACCTAACTAAATAGTTTCGCAGCACTTGAAAGGTAATTTGGTTGCAAATAACAGGGTTATGAGGCAAAATTCAAAAAAAGTTAAACTCCTAAAATACTGACTTAACCATATGCTATAGATAAATCCATTGTTAGGTGGCTCTCAGTAATCTGTTAACGTATTGTTATAAGTGCACATCCACATAGATAACATCCAATTGAAAGGAAAGGCAATACACTCAAGAAAATTAAATAAATAACTTTATCATATTGATCAACTACCTTATGTTGAAAAGAAATCGCAATCCCAATATCAAAACTATTCCAATTTTGGACTAGATAATCCTCGTGTACACAAATTTCTTTCGCTGGCAACTTGGAATTCCAAACTTTACAATTAAGATGAAAATGATCATATTCAAGTATTCTGCAAAAGCCAAATTCATATTTGAACTCAGACCCCCGAAAACAGGGTACTATCCCATAACCAAAACGAATCATTAAAAACAACTCAACAAGACAAAAATAGCGCCAGAAATCTCAAATTCCCTTTTAATCTAAGTAGCAAAAAATCCCGTGTTTAAAGGAAAATTGTGAAAGTTACCTTCGGATCCAGAACTAATGTCGTCTTCATCCTCAGTATCAGCGCTGTAATCGGAGTCTCTGGGAGAGATGTGGAGCAATTTCCGCATGAAAACACGAGGCCAAAAGTGCTATATGCAGAAGCAACCAAAACAGCAGATTTCAGCCCAACTTCTCTGCAAGTACTCTCTTAGATATCCCATAATTAAAAAATAAAAAGGATAAGATAAATAAATAAAAATACCTCTGGCTGTTGCTTTGAACTCTGCTTCATGGCTGTATATCCAAAAATAAGTAAAGAAATGGAGAAAAGCAAAGAAGAAGATGAAAGAAAAACAATGGAAGGCAAAACCTTTTTGGAAAAAAAAAAGAGGGAAAAAGAATGGAAGCAGTAGGGAAAAGGTCAGCAGCAACTACCTTTGGCGGGGAAAAAAAATAAAGGGCTGGCCGGCGTTGAAACAAATAATTACTATACTTAATGATGTTGTGTATCAGTCAAACAGGTAAGATTTTCAAATTCTGGCTACTCTGGTTAGCAGAGGGAGTAAAACCCGACTTAAAAAATCAAGGTCCTTTTAGTTTTATTGAATATAGGTAATTTTCACTCTCATTCTCTTATAAAATTGAAAACTTTGAAAAAAAAATATGTTTGATTGTAAAATAAAAAAATGACTTTTAGAATATGAAAATAAAAATAAGTGAAAATATAAAAAAGATATTTTAATATTTTCCTTAAAAATATTTTGAAAATTTTTAAAAAATATGATATCTAGATTTTTAATTTAATTATCAAAATTATTCTCATAATAACTTTTTGATTCAAGATTATTTGACACGCTCAAACTTTTGCAAAGTAAAAAATCAATATAGTACCTAAAAAATTTTTACACTTAATATAGTCTTTATATTAAATTTTTTTAATAATTTAATTTATTATATTTTTATATTTAATGTATTGAATATCTTAATAATTATTTATATTTTTTATTTTTAAAAAAATTAAAATAAGTCTTCAAACCTTCTAAAAAATTAATTAAGCCATCAAACCTAACCAAAAATTAATTAAGTCTATTTACTACATTATTATTTATTGTGTATTGCCACAATAATATCTTAAATTATTACATTAATATTATAAATTGTCATATAAGCTTCATGACAGTCAACAGTTGATTCCGTTCTTTCTTATAACATATTTTTCTAAAAGTTTGAAGACCTCAATTATCATTAAACATATTTTAATTTTAATGACACTTTTGCACTCTTTCTTATAACAATGTTTTTGTATATTTTTTAATTTTAATTAATATCTAATATACAATAACATTATATTTTTATTATAAATTAAAATAAATTTTATGTTATGAAATTTTTTTATCAATTTTAGTATTTTTTATTTGTATAATTTACATAACTCGCATGCTAAATGTATAATTTAACTTAATTTCTAATGACAACTTTCTCCCATCGCTTAGTTGTTAAAATCTGGTTAGAAAAGTTTAAATCTTAACTTTTATGAATGGAATAAACTAGATTGAAACTTGAAAGTATCGTTTTTACTTCTATAATAAGTGATTTAGATTAGTCAATTAATAAATAAGATATCAGTGATTAATTCAGAAAAATCTTCTTAAATAAAAAGAATAAACTATTTTACCAGTCACTAGATTTCAATTTTTGACTTAATTTGATTATTAATTTTTTAAATTCTTTAATTTTGAAATTAAAACTTTTATATTAGTTTTTTGTTTTTTTAATATCAAATCTTTAATAACGTAATTTTTGGTCATTTCATCTTATTTTCATTTTAAAATTTTTCAAACTTCATCAAACCGTTGATATTAATTAATTATTTTTTATCATCGGTCATAATTTATAATAATACTGATATCACTACTTTTGCAAAAAAATCAATATGGTCCCTAAAATTTTTTACACTCAATATAATCTTTATGTTGAATCTTTTTACAATCCACTATTTTTTTTCTTCTCCTTAAAGCAACATTTTACAAAACATTTTTAAAATCAATAAAATTTATTTAAAAGTTCAATAGTCTAAAATCTCAAACCCCTTTAGTTATAATGTAATGAAGATAATTTTAAAATATAATATATTTTTTTGAAAGAATGTTTATCGTTATTTTAATATTTGAACAAATAATCTAACTTCTAAAAATAACAGGTTTCTTGTATAAAATAATTAAATCGATAAATATAATAAAAAATTATAGAATAAATTCATCAATGTTTAAAGTAATTGTATGATATGTCAAAAAATGAAAAATATATGACGATGACTATAAATGAATGATGAAAATTTAAATTTTTATGAAAAAAGTGATAAAATAAAATAAAAAATAGTTCTAAACTCTCCTATATTTGAAATTATTATGTCATCTAAATATTAACGATTTTAATTCAATTATAAAAAAATTAAAAAAATATATAGTACTAAAATTAGAAAAATGTATTATTTAATAATCAAATAAATACATAAACTAAAATTCACTAGGATAATTTAACCTAACAATGAAGACAGATTTAGTTCTTCCAAAAATTAAGCAACAACTAGAAGTTACGAGGATAACCGTCTGCTACATGAATATACTCTCCCCCTCCATTTGTTTATAGGATTTTTTTCAAAATATTAAACAATTAGATGTATAAGGTAAGATTTCATTCGCAGAAGAAAAATCAGTAGCTGGGAGTTATGTGCGAATCGAACGCGCAGAAAATGAGAATCAATAATCGAAAATCAAAGAGAGTATTTTAAACCTGTTTTCCTTGATGGCCGAATCAACTTCGCCTTTTCAGAAAAAGAAGAAATTGAAGATAAACTGCAATTCCGGAGCAAAAATAGAAAGGAAAATTTGAAGTTTCTGGGAAACTCGGAGAAAGATTTTGTTTCCTCTTGCGGTTGCAGACAGCAGTGGAGCATTTACTTTCCTTTGGTGTTTAGGTTTATATTAATAAAAGGAAATCGTTTCTTTTTTTATTTTCAAAAAAAATTACCTAAACAGTTGATTAATTATTATAATAATTATGAGATTTTCCTAATTGTAAATAATTTGGTTACATGTTAATATACGATTAACTTATTATAATTACTTTTCAGAAATGACACAACATGATCGTTTTAAGTTTTATAATTCATACTATTTTTAATATTATCATTTAATACATACTTACATCAATGTAATTATGTATATCTATAAAAAAGTATAGTACTTAACACATATTTACATCCATATAATTATGTACACCTACTAATATAATTATAAATTTAATTTATTAACCATTAACCGTTTATCAAAACTCGTAACTATAATTTTAATCGTTAACAATCATTTTTAGCGATTTGATTAACAGAAACCGTTTAGCATTAATGGTTCGATTAATTAGCCCGTTAAATGTAGCAGTCATACCGATTAACGGTTACAAGTTTTTCTAACATCCCTAACTATTATAGTAAAATATAGGGTAAACTATATGTTTAGTAACTAAACTATTACTTTTATTTCGTTTTAGTACCTAAACTTTATTTTTCTTCAAAATAATACTTAATGTTTAGTTTAGGTTTCATTTTTGTATCATGTCGTTAAAAACTTAACAGAATTACAGTACGTGACATTTTTATGGGTAAATTACATTGTTAATCATTCAACTATCTTCTCACTCATATTTTGGTTACTAAAGTTTAAAATATTTCAATTTAATTACTCTCTTTCAAAATTTTCCGTTTTAATCACTCTAATTTATTTTATCAATATTTTTTGTGACTTGATATTTTTATTATTATTTATTAAATATATAATTAAAATAAAAAATAAATTTAAAATTATGCCAGCACTAACCCAAAATCACAAACACCTCATATACTAATAAAATAAATTAGAGTGATTAAAATATGAGTAATTTGAAAGTTCAATGATTAAATTAAAAAAATTAAACTTCAATTACCAAAATAAAAGAGAAACTTTACAGAACTGATGACGTGATATTTTTATTTTTTTTTCAATGGATGATATAGCATTATCTTATGATGACACGTCAACAACATTGTTAAGGTTTTAATGAAATGATACCAAAATAAAACCTAAACTAAACGTTAGGTATGATTTGAAAAAAAATAAAGTTTAAATATTAAAACAGAATAAAAGTAATAATTTAGATACTAAACGTATGGTTTACCCTTCATATTTTTGTCATACCTCAATCTAGGGGTTAGTTTTTTATATGAAGGTTTAAAATAGTTGTTTAATTAAAATGTGGGGTGCATCAGCAATATTAAGAAGTTGAGGGACTTTAAGGATAATTTTGCCTTCTTAGTTTTAGGTGATTCTAGAATTCACTTGAATATTCATTTGGATTGATATGAATTTTTAATTATTATCAATATTATAATTTAGAAATTTGAGAACCAGACATTTAAAGATATTTTTTATTAGATTCAATTTTAAATAGGGTGTTGAAATTAGCTAGGTTATTGAAAAACTCATTGATCCAAAAAATATTTTAATTCTTCAATAACTCGGCCCTTGAATCCATCCTTTTGGTTCATCGGAGCAATGCACTAGTATATGAACTCGACTAAAAAATTGATAAACTCGACCAACATCGAACCCATCACTGGTCATGAATCATTCGAGAACCACCTCTCTCGATAGTCTCCTCTATAATAACGGTGTTGATCAACCGGTGATGGAACCTCCACTCGTCACCATGTCATCACTTGCAACCAAACCACCTTGAAACGATAACCAAACAATAAATGAAAAAAAAGGAAAGAAATAGAAAAGGATAGGCGAGTATCTTTTGATTTTTCGATGATCCAGACGTCGGTGGGAAGATTCGAATAGTGAGGATGTTCTTCTTGATAGCGGGAATAACATATCTCGAAAGTAACACCATCCAACGGCAGACGACGAAGATCGGAGAGGTTAAAGCTTGCGGCAGCCGAAACGTTTTTTTAGATCTAAGATGATTCATGGGGTTTCTTAATGATCGAAGGCCATATTCTTGACGAGGAGATCAAGAAGCTTCAAGTGGTGAAGCTTGGGCTCCGACCGACGACTGACAATGACAATCGATGTGGTGGTTACCAGAGTTTGGTGGCCGGCCGATTAAGCTTATTTGCCTTCCTATAGAGCCTTTCGTTGGGAGAAAGTAAAAGGAAATGAAATGTTGAAGAAATGACATTGAAATGGTGGAAAAAATGGGGTAATGGTTTAAACAGGAAAAATCACGTGGGTGGTGACTAGAAAATAAAGTGGAAAATTGCATCATGAGTCCTTCAAGTTTGGTGAGAACTCAACATTGTCTTCCAGTTTCCATATAGTTATCAATATGGCTTAATGGTTTCAATAAGATCAATTTAGTCACTAACCTTGGTAGCTAAGTATT